CCCACACACACACACACACACACGCCTCCTTGGGCACCCAGCCAAGGTGGCAGCAGAGTGGATGCGCTGAACCGCGTCTAAGCAGCTCACCCCATTTGACCAGGGACTCTGCCTAGGGTGGGAATTTGCTACATGCCCATCTGGGGGCTTCTGATCCATGCAGATGTGAGCTATGACCTCCGACTCAAAAGGGAATGGAAGCCAAGCCTGACCTCCCTGGAGAGGGAGAAAGTGCATGAGAAATGGGGGGCCCAAAGGAACTCAGGAGAGTGTGCAGAGAGCAGAACTGAGCCTGGCAAAGTCAAGGTTTCCTCACCTCCCTCACAAAGCATTTCGAGTTTCAAAAAACCGTTTACCCAAGAAAGACTAGAAGTCTCTACAAGGCGCTCCAGCGGTGCTGTCTAGTAAGCATTGGGTGGCTGGCCACAGTCAGGGTTCATACCCGCCACCCACTCTATGGGAGAAAGTCGAGGCTGCCTGCTAAAGATTTGCAGCCCCTTTACTTCATACGGGGTCACCACAAATTAGAATCAACTCATTGACAATGTGTTTGTTTTGTTTCTGGTGTTTGGTTTGGTTTTTGCTTGTTTGTAATTGGGGTCTAATTTTTTTTTTTTTTAATTCACTGCCATGAGTCAATGTTGGCTTATAGCGACCCTACAGGCCAGGATAAAACTGCCCCTGTGAGTTTCCAAGACTGAAGCTCTTTATGGGAGTAGAAAGCCTCATCTTTCTCCCGTGAAGCCACTAGTGTGTTCAAAATGCTGACCTTGCAGTTAGCAGTCTAACGAGTAACCACGACGCCACTAAGGCTCCTTGATGTGTACTGAAAAACAAACGAACCAACAAAAACCTAACTGCCATTGAGTTGATGCCAACTCAGAGTCCCCTCTAGCACCTGGAATTCATTGTGAGACCAGATAGACACAGCCCCTTCCCCACAGGGGCTTGAGTTGTTGTGGAGTAGTAAGCAATAAACAAGTAAACAAGAGTATCCTTAGTATCATTAGCTATTTGCTAAGAAGAAAATAAAGTTAGGGAGGCACTAATTAGGCTTGGTGACCAGGGAAAAACTCAATGACAAGTGACAAGGACAAACAGTATTCTCGGCAGAGGGAATGATCTAATATAAAGGCTTGGAGGAGTGAACTCTCTTGGTGAACTCAGCACAGTGCGGTCAATGTAGTAGGGACACACTCAGATGTGTGACCTGGGGCTACCTCCTCAACTGAGTTCCAATTCTCATTGGCTTCAGTTGTGCCCCCAGACCCCTCATCTGCTCTTCCCTCCCACCCTGCTCCCTCTGGGCACTGCCACCATCAGAGCACCAACTGTCAGCCTGCTTCCCTAGCAAAGGGCCTCTCTTCTTTTGCTCTGATATGTCCCTGTCTCCTGCTTCTCCCACAGGACTTTTTGAAGGTCATTTAAAGGTCCAGACAAGACCCTTTTCTCCTAGTTTTGTTCTCTGAAACCAACATGATTCATCCACACGTAGTTTGCTGGGCAAGAAACTTCCTCCTTCCTTCTCTTGCCCTCTCCACCTCACTCTGGTGGTGTAACTGGGAGGGTGCTAGGAGGTGTGGCTGGGCCTCAGGGCCTGCACTGAGTGACCTCCTCTCCAGACAGAAATGCCATCTCTGCTCCAGCAGCTGAAAGCCAGGAAGGATGTTCCCTTTTGTCATCGGTATTTATTGTGGGTACCTAGTCCAGGGTTCTAGGCTCCTCGGAGCTCCGCAGCTGTGCGCTGACGAGAGACTTTTGGGTTGCGCTTGGATAGTGAGTGTGCTGTGGTCTGGTTGTGCAAACCTGGAGAAAGGATAAATGAATAAACAAGAGCAGGTTGCTTTGCCAAAGACCAGGTCCTTGTGCTTCTGACCTCTTCCTTCCTTTCGACAGAAAAATAGAGCAATGGTCAAGGTTAATCCTGAGGAGGTAGAGCCTGAAGGGCATTGACTTGCTAAGGGCAACATACTGCCCCTTCCCCCTGAACCAAAGGCAGGAGGAAGTCTCCCCAGCACTGCACTTCCTGGGAGGAGGAGGCCTCCGAACACAATTGGCTGGACCTTTTTGAGCATTCCTCTTTCTGAGACAGGCTATGCTGTCCTGAGGGAGCATGATCACAAAGTTATAATACTGAGCAGAGAAAACTTTGATCTGGCACATGCAGAAAATAGAGAGTGGGAAACAGACTGACGCAGGCCAAAGCTATGTGTGCCTGCGTCCAGAGAACAATGCAAAATTAATGGTTTATAGACCAAGTTGATGGGGGGTTGGTTCTCTCGGTAGACAAGCTAAACATGAACAATAGCCTTCACAAAACTCTTTGGTCCGAGGTGTTGTTGCCACCAGAGCCAGAAGAGATTGTGTGTTGATCCAGCAGGCCAATGTGGGGAAGAAGCAAGAATGATCGCTTCCTTCGTTTCTGTCTGAGTTCTGAGGAAAACTCCCTTCATCCAATCTTCCTGATTCTCTGTGTATCTGCTCCATCTGTCTTTCCCATAGACCACCGGTTCTCACCCTGTGGGTCATGACCCCTTTGAGGGTCCAACGACCCTTTCACAAGGGTTGCCTGATTCATAACAGTAGCAAAATTACAGTGATGAAGTAGCAACGAAAATATGTTATGGTTGGGGGTCACCACCACATGAGGAACTGTATGACAGGGCCGCGGCATGAGGAAGGTTGAGAACCCCTGCCCTAAACCAACTACTGCTCTCTGCCTTCCCAGATTGCCAGAGACACTGTTTAGGGCTACTGCTCCAGTGCTACCACTGTAGTTAGGTGGGAAGGCGGGGGCCACAGGGGGGGGGCTTAAGATGGCATTAGGACAATTTCAAGGCTTAGGATGGAGCTGGGGCTCTGGCGTAAGGCTTATCAAGTGCCTTTGATTTTAGGTACTAACCCAGTGCCAAGTCTGACTGCTAAGCATGAAGGGTGAGTCTCAGAGTTGGATAAAATAGATGCAAACACTAGTAAACATACTTGTCTTCGTTTCCTGGTGCTGTTGAAATGGCAATGCCACAAGTGGGGAGATACAGAGAACACAAATTTATTCCCTCGGTTTAGGAGACCACAAGCCCCAAATCAGGGCACGGATCTACAGGAAGGGGCGGCTAGGTCTGGAAGACCATCCTTGTTTCAGCGTCTGCAGCCGTGGCATTCCTCCGTTCCCCGGTGGAACCGCCTCCCTCATGCGTGCAGCTTGGTCTCTGTGTCTGTGCTGCCACTTAGACCTCAGAAGTGATTAGGTTCAGACTACACCCTATGCTGATATTTTCTCATGAATGTAACAAAGAAAGCCTTCCTCTCCAAAAGGGATTACTTCCACAGGCCTACGAAGTAGGATTCCAACACACATTGGTGGGGAGCACAGTTGGATCCATTGTAATCCTCTCCACTTCTCATGGAGAAGGAGAACCTGGATCTTAAGTGCCAATCTGGCTAGATTTACTTAAATCCCCTCTGTACGTCTACATGGACTAGCTGTGGATATGAGCACATGGCCTCATCTGTAAAACAAGTTTAGTAATGACTGAGCTTGCAGGCTTGAGGACAGATTGGTTGCCTGCCCCCTAATTCTCACCTGCTCTGGAGGAAAGGAGACCACACATTCAAATATCATTTAGGGACACCCATTTACTGTGCCTCAAACAGGACAAGACCGATCAGCCTGGAGAGGGGCCTTCCAATGTGAGACCATAAAGGCGTTGAAAGATTCACAGATATGTGGCCCCTTCAATAGGATAGAGAGGAAAAAGGGGTCACAAAAGCATGACTGGCTGCAGTGACAGGCACGATGACAGAGTGGAGAGAGACCAAGGTCGTGCAGATGAAAAAAGCTATGAGACTGGCTCACCGCCTTCCGACCACCGTGGTCAGATTATGACTCATGATCATGGAGCCCCGGGACCCCAATTTCCATCAAGGGTATGCCCAGGCAAGTTCCTAAGGGCTCGACTGCCCCCCCCCCCTTGGGCTGGCCAGGGGAGTCCCAGCAAACAAACTCTGCCTGAAGGCGAAGCTTGTCGCATTGCCTGTCAAGGCCCAGGGAACACTCCATGCAAAAGGGACCAATGAGGAGACTCCAAATGGGCTCTTCTCGCCTTCTGTAAACCCGGTGCCTGGCCAGGAAAACACTCCTCACCCCATCCCCATTTCCTTTGCAGAGATGCGGCGACCTCAGAGAATGGGAGGGGCTGGGGCAGCTCATTAACAAGGCTTCTGAAATCCCCGCAGAGCTACAGAAGGAAGAAGATTGTCTTGATGAGTTGGCAAACAGAAAATCAGGCTGACAAGCTTCGATGAGGCCAGTCTCAGAGGGCTGAGCTCCGGGCCTTCAGCTCCTCTGCCTCCCGCCCCCCGTCTTTC